GTAGACAAACCCGCCATCCTCCCTCACCACCGCATGATACAGAGAGGTCTAGGACACTTATTGTACGTTCGTGCCGCAGCTGTTTTACCACTCGAGCGACAAAGCTTACCAGCATCCTGCTCGCTGTGTGTGAGACGCAATCAAGTGAGATCGGTTCTAATCCCGATCCCCCCATCCCCGAGATGGATCAGGCACCGCCGCTCCACCTCGACGGCTGGGCCATCGCCTACGACGCCGGCTACGACCCGAACGCCAAGGACGACGACCGCGTGGGCTTCACGTACCACGCCCAAACTGGCCGCCCTCGCGATCCCGAGGATGGCTTTGCCTACGTACATCATCAGCGCGTTGATCGTAGTGCAGAGTATGATCTACGTGTACCCGACGAGTCCACTATTGTCGAGGTTACCCGTTCCGCGTCCGCCGACGTGACGAGTTGGATCGGCAAAGTTGATGGAGGGGTCGGCGGCAACGCCAACTACGAGTACAGTGCGACCACGGCTACGCCATGGATGTCATTCATGCGAGCCATGTGCATGATCTCCAGCCTCTTCACACGCAATTCTTCTATACAAGAAAACGTTCGTGGCTCACGTGATCACTTGCATGCTGTGATTCCAAACTCACACCGCGAGTGCCCACCAATGGAGCTCACGACGGTAGTATTAAAGGCAGAGTGGATGATGATGCACAACGATTGGTCAAAGTTGGCAGTGCATTTCTTGGGCAATACGCCGAGGACAGCGTTCAGGACACAAACTACTTCTACAAAGATGGGCGCTGTGCGCCTCACGATGTATACAGTAATGGATTGACAACTCCCACCTACGCTCCTAAACTTGATCGCGCTACGATCAAACTACCCATACGTCCACCTGGCATGGCCAGGACATCAGATACTGCGGGACACCTCGGCCACGTTGTCGAGGATAACCTTGTCACCGAAGTGAGGGCTCCGATCCCACCCAGACAAGCAAATTCCGCCGCAAGCTCAGTACGTGGTTGACTGCACGCGGAGGATTTGGAGGTATCGGATCAAGCCCCAAGACGGTGGCAACACCACCCGATCACCCAGACGGCTGGAAAATCCTCCCAGAGTACGACGACAATCATTGGCAACCATACGAGGAGGGCTCTGTGCTGCCCAGCGAAACGCCTACCAAGGAGGACCCTGGTCTTACTCCTGGTACTGCTGTTGATCCGCTAGAGCTTGCACAAGCAACATACAGCGCGTTTTGTGGTGGTCGATTGGTTTCTACCCTTCTTTCAGACAGCGGGTGGCGTTCACTCATACAGGAGGACCTGGGACTTCTTCTCCATCTTGCATTTGGCCCGTCAGGGCACGCATACAAATCGACAAATCTGTACACGGACTCAACATGGATCATGCACCCAAGAAGGGATCCAAGACCGCCAAGCACAAAAAAGTATCCCAGCCACGGCGTCGACGAGCTCAACAGCCCACAAAAGCGAGACGCTCTTGCTAAAGCATCAAACGTTGGTCTCGTACCTTTATTTATGCCGTGCCTCAATCGTGCAGAATGCATCGGTGGCGCCACCCTCGAGCACTTGTCGACCGTCATCCGCGATGACATTATGATGTAGGCATTCTCCTTTGGCAATTACAAAGAATGGTTCTAGCAGAACGACACGGCGATTGGCCAGGACTGCATTCTATTGCCAGAGGCTGGTGGCGACACCCGCTGTGATATGGCACAGCTCCGTGATCAGCGCACGCAGACACAGGAGAACCGTATCACAGCTATCCTTGCAAACCAGTTCGAGTCTACACTCGAGCAGCGCAACATGATCCTCATGATCCGCAAGGCCAGGGGCTTGACGCTGATGAACGACAATGCTTCTATCAAAGAGTGGCTCACGATGGCTCCACGATGGCTCAAAGGTATGACCTCCAAGATGGCTCACGATATCCCGAGATGCCTCACGATGGCTCCCACGATGCTCAAAGAGGCCCCAAGACCGCTCCAAGACGGCTCCAAGTGGCCAAGAAGCTCCCCCAGGAGGCCCCGAAGAGGCCACAATCCTCGCAAAACCTCTGGAAATTGAATGTGTTTGGCTTTCTCGCCTTTTCGCTTCCGATGGCCATCCGAGGCTTCAAGATGGCTCCAAGATGGCCCAAGGGGGCTCCAAAAGCAGCCCCAAGACTTCCAAAAACGCTTCAAGGCCCCAGGAGGCCCCAACAGGCGCCCAAGAGGCCTCCACGAGGCCCCCAAGAGACCCCCAAGAGGCCCAAGAAGCCAAGAGGACCCCAAGACGCGCCAAGAGGCCTCCACTGGGGACCCTTCCTCTGTGCGCTGCCCACCTCCCTGATCGAGGCAATTCCTCTGGGCATCGTTTCTGGATGGGTTGGTGAGGTTACTTTTCCGTCGCAGCCGCAAGCGAAGGCGCATGCAGCGTCAGAGGTCATCCCGGGCTACGGGCGGAGCCTAATTGCCCAGCGGACGCACTCACGGCTGCCGAGGCTGCCGCCGAGGGAGGCTGAGAGGCGCTGGGGGCTGAAGGCAGACTGTGAAAGCTGCCAGGAACGCCAGGCGGCCAGCGCGCGGGCATCCCAGAGGCGGGACCACTGGAAGATGACTAATTGAACCTTGTCGCACCAGGCGCCAGAGGGCGACGCGCCGCCAAGCGTGGCGAAGCGCGGGGCTGCAAAAACAGTCCAACGTGCAAGGCTGCAGGCCAAAAGGGACGAAAACACATGGCTGACCAAGAAGGCTGAACCACTCCTGAGAAATCGAATAGGGCTGCGCCCCACGATGCCGGCGGCGGCTGCAGACACGGCCAGGCTGTGGCGGTGTCTGGAAACCAGAGGCCAGGGAAGCGCAAGCACTCGAGCCAGGGCTGGTCAACGCGCACGTCACCTGAACGCCAGGATGCCTCGCCAGGCTCAACGGTGCCAGAATGAATACCACCAGGCGCGAGGGACAGATGAGCGGCGCCGCAGGCAGCTGAGGGCTGAGGTGACCTCAGGCCGGGAGCCCGCGGCGAGGCGCGCGAGTCAAAAGCCATCGCGAAGAGGAGCCCAGCTCACCACGGAAACCAAACCAGGCTGTGGCCGGGTCCGAGCGAAGGCCAGGGTGAAAACAGCTACAGTCAACGGCCGAGGCCGCGAGGCACGCCGCAGGCGCGGCGTGCCCGGCATTGACAGCGCCATGGAGTCTGGCCCCCAAGTGCGGCGGGGCAAGCCAGGCGCAGTGTCGGGGCCATCGCCGATCGTCACGAAGCCTACAGCCGAGGGGCTGCGACGTGCTGCGGCCAGGCGCGGGGGAGGCCAGGGCGAACGTAGCTACAGCAAACGGCACGGCCGTGCGGCGGCACGCTGAGCCTCGCCCCAGCAAGGGCATCGCGCCAGGTATTGACAGCGCCGGGAGCCTGATCCTCGAGGGCGGGGGGCGGGCCAGGCGCTGCGCCGCGACCGGAACCGGCCGCGGGGGGCGGAGAGGCAGGGGCACATTGAATGCTGCTGCGGCTAACATCCGCACGTACTAAAACTAACTCCTGAATCTCTCATTTTGCGAGGCCCCCTCTGCGGCTCTCGCAACTGTCGCCGCGAGACTGTCTCCAGGCGGGGGCGCGCTTTCGGGCGCATCTCGGGCCTCCACGGAGACGCTGCGCCTGGGGCGCTGAAGGGGGTGGGGGCCTGGAGGAGTGCCTGACTCCCTGACTGCCGCGGGGGCGGCCGCGTCTGCCGCGCCAGCAGCGCCGTCGCGCTGGCTGCGCTGAGGAGGCACAGCCAAGAAGCAAGTGGCTAACGGCCACAGTCGGTGGAAAGGGAGGAGCGGGGGGGGAAGGGAAGCGCTGAACATGAAGCCAGGAAATGGGGCGGCACTGAAGTGGCTAACGGCGGCCACACTTTCTGGTGTCTGGACGTTCCGAAGCATGCAGCGACAGTGACAGGGGGGCCACGACCACCTGGATATCTTGTCGTCGTGGTCAGCACCGTCGCTGTTCTTCCTGCCTCGCTGCCACGACTGCCCTGCGCCGTGCCGGGGCCAACCTTCCCGTGAGCCCCAGGGTTGGTGCTGTGAGCTGGATCTCCATCCCTTTGATTGGTGGGGGCCCTTGCCACAGGTCCCCCTGATGTGTCTTTCACGGATGGCCTGCTAGTCGACGTTGAGCTCCCCTTTCCAGTCCATCTCGTAGGCGTCGAAGCCAGATCTGCGCCAGGCGTCCAAGAAGCCCTTGCACGTAGCCTCGTCGTTCAGGTAAGGGTTGCTTTGGGACTTCGCTTTGGAGCGATTAGGGAACTTCTGCGTGTAGCCGTGCCAGATCCCGTTGAACGTGCCTTCCAGGACCTTCTGGGGGCGCGCAATCTTGTCGGCTGGGAGCTCATCGTGGTCCAGGTTGACGCTGCCCAGGTGCTCGCGATACATGCTTCCTCCTGTAACAGGGTCGCGGAGATTGTCGAAGGCCTTCCGCGCGCTGCCGTTGCGAGGAGGGGTCGAAGGGCGCCCGCTGTCGTCGGGGCCAGGGCGCGCAGCGCGCCTGTCCACGGCCCGGGCGCCGAGCGCGCGCCTATCACTGACGGCGTTGCTTCGCCGCGGTGGTAGCGGATCGCCCGTGGATCTGGCGGGCGCAGCGGCGTCCGCGGCTGCGGGCGCAAGGGGGATCTGCGCCCGGAAGGCGCCCAGAGGATCGTCGCCCGGGCTTGGGCTTGCTTCTGGGGCGCCCTCGCTTCTGTCCTCGCGGCTGCCCACGTGCGAGGGGGGGGGGGCTGTCGCGCTGCTGGGGGCCCTCGTCTACTTCTGCGCGCTCGCTCGGCGACTCTGCTGGGGATGCCGGTCGCGGGTCGTCGAAATCCACAGACTGGTCCCTTTTCGTTGGAGAGCCGCCGGCGCCGTCATGCACATTGTCGTCGTTCGAAGCAACGGGAGGGTCGAGCTCCTACTCCTCGCCGCCGAACTCCTCGCCGGCCTCGTGGTCCTCTCGCCTGCCCTGGGGGGGCGCCGGGCCCGTCCCTGAGCCTCCTGGGGCCAGGTCACCTTGACCAGGCGGCCAAGCAGGGCCATCCCTGCCGGGTGGTGCCCCTCGCGCCGGCCCCGCGGTGACTCGCTGGCCTCTGGCTTGGGGGCGAGCCAAGCCCCCGCATTCGCACCTGCTGCAGTCTCGAGAATCATCTCGCCGCCCGAGCTCGCGACTGGGCCCTGGTGAGCCAGGTTAGCGATGGTGGCTGTTGCGAAGGCGCCCGCGTCGAGGCCCACCAGGAAGTCAGCGAGCACTGCGAGCTCGTGCCGAAATGGGCTGGGCCCCCTGTCTCGCGCCAGGGAGGTGTAGTGCTGCTGCCAGGCTTCGCTGTGAAGTGGGCTGTTGGCGAGGTGCTTTACCTCTCTGGCGGCCGCCCAGCGCGCGCCGTCCCAGTCGACGCGAAACGGCGAGCCGTCTGCTGGCACCTCTGAACTGCGCATCCTGGCCAGGAAGGGGACCAAGCTGCTAGCCGGCCAGGAAGTTCCCTGATCCTTCGGCTCGAAGATGGCGCTGCCCTCGGCTTCCTCGCACTCCTGCCGGAACGGGTCGACGTCTGGGTGAAAGTCGCGGAGGTAGGTAACGAGGAGGTGCTACACCTCGCGGAGTTTGCTGGTCCGACTACGCTGCTGCACGTCATCCGCCGCCAGGCACAGGTCCGCGACTGACCGCGAGCTGAGCGCAGGGCAACTAGGCGGGGAAAGCTCTGGCAGGAGGGCGAGTAGGTCCGACGCTGTCCTGATGTGCGCACCCCCGTCGCTACCGCCCGCGGGGGCGCTGGTGCCGTCCCTCGAGCTCCGTGCTGCTGGCTCCTTCGAGTATTCGTCCTTGACGGTGGCGTTGGCGAGCCTTGGATGCAGTCGATCCGCGGCGTCCGGGGCACCTTGGCCCCTGGTGCCCTGGCGCGGCCTTTGGGTGAGTCCTCGGGGTAGACCTCGGGGTCGGCGGGGTTACTTTTTTGGGTCGGCGGCTCCGAGGCAGCGGACAGGGGGCGGAAGGCGTCGTCTGGGCCAGCAGGCGAAGCTAATTAGCTACAACAGGCAACGCACCTGCAGTAATAATTTGCAAAGAATGCGAGGTGTGCACATGCACTGAGCAAAATGCTCCACATTAAGGCGAACGCACCTAGGCGCCAGCCACACCGAGGTGAAGCAGACCGCAGTGCTATGCAACGGAGAAGTCGCCCTGTCGGCGCCAGCCCGCGCAGCCAACCTAGCCGAAGCGGACAGGTAGAACCGAAGCGACACGCTGAAGGCTGAACCACTCAGCGCGAAGTCCGTACCACCGCCGCACGCGGGGTCGGCTGAGACAGGGGCAAAGGAAGGGCGGGGACCTACAGAGCTCTCACTCCACGATCCACACCGCTGCCCGTGGTGGGGCCGGTGCGTCAGCCATCGTTTCGAAACCAGTCACAGGCCAGGAAGCAACGATGAAAGAGGACACGCAAGCCCAAGCGCCAGCACTGCCGCCAAGCGGGCAACGGCCGAAGGTCGCCGAGGTACGCTGCAGCCGCGGCCAGCTCATAGGCGCTGGGGTGCAGTCAGGGCTGAATCTGACCGCAGAGAGAGCCGGGGGACGGCAAGTACCAACAGAGCACTCACTCCGCGGACCGCGCCGCTGCCCGGGGGGGGGCCGGCGCGCCGTCATCGTATCCGAAACCAGGGACTGGTCGGGGCAGCAACGATGAGAGAGGACAACGCTGGCCCAAGGGCCAGTATACTGCAACCTCGCAGGTGCCGGTCACGATCGGCGGGGTTGCGCGAAGCGTCTAGAATTTCTGTGGGACGGATCTGCCTCGCAAGGACCCGTTTTGCATGACTGCTTCTTTCCTTCGATCTTGCGGTTGACCATGAAGCCCAGCAGCTTCCTGTCTGCATTGCGGAGCTTGACAGGACGCATCTCCGCCAGTTTTGCCGCCCCCCCCCCCCCCCTCGCCCCCCCATTCCACTTTAGGAATGAGGGCCAGGGGGAGGGGGGGAGGAGGGCTGTAGAGCGCCGCTGGTAAGCATAGCCCTGAGTCGGGCGCGGCGCATGGGCCCTCCCGCCCTTGAACCAGTGCTCGCGCAGGTTCGGCGGGCAAATCTTCTCTGGCTGTTCGTCCTCCGCGAGGGCCCGTGGCCAGGCGCTGGCGAGCCGCCCCTCGATCGCGCGCGCGCAGGCGGCGCCGAGGGCGAAGGCCTGCGAGACCTAACGCGATGCCTGCGAGCCTCGTCCGGGGGGTGGGAGGCGGCCTGCGACGCCTGTCGCAGTGGGCCACCAGAGGCCAGTGCGACATCGGTCCTGACCAAGCGAGATCGGCGTCGAGCTGGAATGCGGCAAATATTGCTGCGGATCGCGCGGCGACCCAACTCTCGACCGTGCGACGATCAAGCAAGATGCGCTTGAGCTGCGCAGTCCCGAAACCCTACCCGCCCCCCACAGGGCCCATCCCGACGCGAATTCCCCCGCCCCGCCACGGACCCCCCCCCTCCCGTGGCGGAACGGACGGGGGCCCACGGATTAGCGGGCGTCTTCGCAGTGGGAGGGCGCCCACGGGTCCACGGGGGCCCAGGACGATTCTGGAGACGCGCAAACGGGCCCAGACGGGGGCCCCCTGCAAGGGCGGTCGCCGCCCGCCCGACCCAGGGAGCCGCGCCCCAGGGGCTGGGCGACGCCGCGCCCCCTCGCGCGAGGGCCCGCCAAGCCAGGGACGAGGAGAAGACGAAGGGGTTTTCAGCTGGGCGCGGCCCCCCTCAAGCCGGGCCGGACGCGGGCTGCGAGCGGCTGCCCGTTCTGGCCGCTCCCCGGGGCGCTCGGCGGCCAGCTCGCTCGCCAGTGCGCCGACGACGCCCCCGCCCCAATGGGTCGCGTGGAACTCCGCCGATGCTGGCGCCAAGTCATTTTACCGATGCGCCGCAAGTGCGATACCGATCAGCTGGGGATGCATCGCGCAATCAGCCCTTGGTAGCCTGCTGCCCCAGGCCGCGCGGCGGCCAGCTCTCTCGCCCGTGCGCCGACGAGGCTCCCGCCCCGAAGGACCGCATGGGGCCTCGCCGCTGCTGGCGCTCGAAAGTCTCACCGACGCCCCGCCACTGCCCTGCCGATCAGCTGGGATTGGTCTGCTTCTGGCGCTGGTGCGCGTGTTCCCACAACTGCTGCTGCTGCCGCTGCTGCTGCCGCTTGTTCTTTGACATGCCAGACCGCCCGGTGTTCGGGCAGCCGCGGGCGCCTCCGATGTCGGAGAACCCAGGCGGGCAGTCGAGGAGCATATTCCGCCCTTCGTGGCCCAGGGCGGGTGCGCTCTGCCAGCGGGCGGAAAGCGCGGCAATTGCTTGCGAACTTGCCCCGGGGAAGGCGCGGGCCCCCGCGGTGGGGGCCAGCGCCCAGCTGTCCGAGTTCAGTCTTTTATATATATATATATATATATATATATATATATAAGAAAAAAACTGAGCACATGCTTGATGAGCTTCTTGTGGGCCTTCTCGCTGCTGGCCCCGGTGGCCTCCACGACAGCGTCGGTTTCCTCATTCATGAGGCCGCCCAGTTAGATGTCACCCTTGCGGGTGCGGATGGTGGAGACCAGCTTGGCCGCCCTGGGCGCGGCCCCCTCCTGCTCGACGTCGCCATGGCCAGAGTAGACCATCTCCGCCTGCTCGGACGGCTTACGCCCCAGGGCCCGCCGAATGGACTCGGCCTCCCCGTCGCTGGCCCCTGACGCGCCCCCCATGTTGACGGTCAGGGACGGGGAGACGATGGCCCGATGCTCCGACGCGTCGGCGCCTTCCTCCCCCCGCCTGCGGCCGTGCTTTCTGCCGTCGCGCCTCCAGTGGCCGCCGCCCGCGGCGGCGCCTCCAGGTGCCTCCTGCTGGCCCCGCTTCGCACAGCGCGCCTACTTTTTCGGACTGTAGGGGGGCCGTCTTGCAGAACGGGCAGACGTGCGCGATGCGATTGTCGCCGCCGATCGCGAAGTCGGCCGTGGCTCCCAGACGCTCATCTTTCAGGATGGCTTCGCTGACCTCATCCAGGTTGACATTCGGGTGACCGGCCTTCGCGACCTCGGCGTGCGTGGCGAGGTATGTGGTCGCAACTTGCTTTGACGGGGGGCCCTCCTTCTGCTAACTCCTGATGTTGCACCTATACGACCACCCTTCGGGTGATAAGGAGGTTCGGGGGGGGGGAGGAACCAAAGTCTCACTCGGTCGATCTCACAATCGATCTGACTATCGATCTCACAATCAATCTCACGATCGATCCCACTATCGATCCCGCAATCGATCTCGCATTCGGTCTCACTATCGATCTGACTATCAATTTCACAGTCGATATCACAATCAACGTCATCATCAGCATCAACAATACCATCGTCATCCACGTCATCAACATCAGCATCATCGGGAAACCATCACCATCACCTCATCACCATCGTCATCATCATCATCATCATCATCATCATCATCATCGTCATCATCACCATCATCATCGTCGGTTCACCATCATCGCCACCATCATCAGCACCAACAGCAGCACCATCGGGAAACCATCCTCATCATCCTCGGAACACCACCACCATCATCATCACCATCATCATCATCATCATCATCATCATCATCACCTCATCATCATCATGAACAACATCATCAACATCATCATCATCATCGGGACACCATCATCATGACCAGCAACATCATCACCATCAACATCACCATCACCATCATCGGGGCACCATCATCATCGTCACCAAAATCACCATCACCATCATCACCATCAACATCAGCAGAATCATCATCACCATTATCGGGCCGCAATCATCAAAATCATCATCAGCACCTCATCAAGATCCTCATCATCAACATCATCATCATCACCATCGGGGCACCATCATCGTCATCCGAATCATGCACCTCATCATCATCACCGGGGCACCATCACCATCACCTTCATCAACATCATCATCTTCATCACCATCATCATATCATCATCATCGTCAACACCATCAGGACCATCATTATCATCATCATCATCATCATCATCATCATCATCATCATCATCGGGACACCATCATCCTCATCAACAACATCATCATCAACAACTTCGGGACACCATCATCCTCATCAACAACATCATCATCAACAACTTCGGGAAACCATCATCATCGCCACCATCATCACCATCATCAAAATCAGCATCGTCAACATCACCATCACCGGGACACCATCACCATCATCATTACCACCATCACCATCATCATCATCATCAACATCATCGTCATCATCAGCATCATCATCATCATCATCGGGACACCGACGGGACACCGGCGGGACACCGCGCGGCACTGGCCCCCGGACAGGAATCATTTGGTCCGGCCGCGCCTCAGCCGGAGGCGGGACACTGGCGGGGCACCGCGCGGCACCGGCCCCCAAACAGGAATCATTTGGTCCGGCCGCGCCTCAGCCGGAGGAGACTTTCTTCTCGCCCGCCCGCACAACTTCGCCTCGCCCGCGCGCACGGCACGCACGAACACGAAACCGAAACCGATTTCGCGGCAGGGAGGCTCTCCGATCCACCTCGATCCCACCCCCTCACCTCCGACCGCTCGGCGTTCAAGCTCACGTTTTTTCTACGGTTTGCGGTCGCCCCAAGACTCCACTGCTGAAGCGGGCGCGCGAGAACGGCATGCAAGTGCGCCGCTGGCCGCCTCTGCGGCAGCATCAGACAGGCGTTGGCAAGATTGCAACTCGCACATCATGACAGTGCTGCCTGAACAGAGGCCAAACGCCTACTCGCAGGCATCGCGCCGCTCGAAGGGTTTACCCTCGCTCGCCTGCACCCCGATCTGGAGCCACCAGCCCCCCCCCCCCCCGATGCAC